CTTTCCCCTTGAAGCATTTGCCAGTTAAACTATTCAAGACCATAAGCTAATAAATGAAGCAGAAAGCATATGAAAAACAGAGTAGAATTTTCTCAGTTATGTGGTACTAGAGAAAAACTTTTCTGTATGGTATTTGATAAATAGGAGAGTGCCTAGGAAAAAAAGACTTTGTATTTATTTATTGCCATTTTTGATTCATGTATTGACCATTTGACTAGAAGATAGGAATTCTAACCAAAGTGACCTACAGAATCAATCCATTTCCAATCAAATTCTTAGGAGGATTTCTTTATGGAAATTGACTAATTCAAATGTTTATATGGGAATAAAAAGGGACAAAGCACTTTTGAAGAAGAATAAAGTTAGACGAGTTCACTAACAGATATCAGGACCTACTATAAAGGTATACTAATTAAGGCAGTGTGGTATTAGTGCAAAGAAGAAAACAAAACAATGGAACAGGAGACAGGATAGGGAATCAAGAAATACCCATGCATCTACAATCATTTGATTCGTGACAGTAGGAATACTTCACTACATTGCCAAAAGAATGGCCTTTTCCATAAATGATGCTAGATCAACTAGGTCTGTATAAACAAAATTAATTTTTACTTCTACCTTATATCCGACACAGAAGTCAATTTCAGATAGATTATAGGTCTAATATCAAAGTAAAAGCTTATAGAATAAAACAGGAAAATACCTTCATTAAGATAGACCAAAAGCACTAATCAAAAAGGTGGAAATTGATAAATTAAACTACATCAAAATGAAGAACTTCTATTATTCATAAAAAAAAACATTTAGAGTCAAAAGGTAAGTCATGAAGTAGGATATATGCCCCAAATAGGCGTGTATCTGAAAAAGAATTTAAAACAGATTATCTTTTTAAAAATCAACAAAATTTGAAAGATTATCAACCCTGTAGAAAATAACACAGAACTCTTGAATACACTTTAGAATAAAAGCCATCTGGAGCCATCAGGTGGTGTAGTACTTAAGGTGCTGGACTCCCATGTGGTTGGCTGTATTTCAAGTCCCAGACCCACCTACTTGATATCACACTGGGCACATGTGCATGTGTGCCCAAATACCAAGATGAGAATGGAGGAAAAGGGATTGCAGCATGCCCATGCCCCCTGGAGAGTAATTTCTTGCTTTCTGTCTCTCTGTCTCTGTCTCTTCAGTGAGTACATGTGCCCTGTAGCAAAATTCTTTGGAGGAAAAAAAATATCCAAATGGCCAATAAATAAATCACAAGTGCTCAACTTTATTATTGAGCACCTAGAAATGTCATTAAATCCATAATGAAACATTTCTGTATACATTTCAGAATGGTTAAATTTAAAGCAGCTGAGACTTGAAAAACACTCTAGGTGCATATGTTTGTGTGCTCAAAATCCCAACTGTATGGAAAATAGAGAAGAAGGGATTGTGGCATGACCATGCCAAAATTGGAAAGTGTTTTCTCCCTGTGAGTCTGTCTCTTTCTGGTGAGCACATGTGTCCTCTGGTAATTAAAAAAAGGAAAAAAAAAAAAAAAACGGAACTAATGATAGCAATAAAAAGTGTGTATATTGCCAATTAGATTATAAATTGGTACAGATATTTGATATTGACTGTGGTATTAGAATATGTGCACAGTCTGTGATGCAATATTCATACCTTTGAGAGTGTGTATGTATGTGTGTGTGTGTATATAAAAAAAAAATATATATATATATATACACATATCACCAGACTGTGAGTACAAGAATTTAGGATGACATCTACATGCAACTATATGTATGAATCTTAAAAATATTAGATAAAGCAAACCAGACACAAAAGAGTGTCTAATAATACAGTTTTTTTGGTTGGAGGTTGAATAATAGGCAAAAGTAATCTGTGGTGATAGAGGTCTATAACTTAATGAAAAAAAATAAAAGAAGGAAACCTGATGAAGACTACATATTGTATAATTCAATGTAAGTAAAATGTCAAGAATCAGCAAATCCTATTGCAATAGAAAATTGATTTGTTGCCTAGGGCAGGGCATGGGGAGGAATGGAGAATGCTACTGGTTATAGGGTTTTCTTGGGTGATGAGAATGAAAAAATTTATGGTTGTGACATTTACACGACTGAATATAAGTCATTGAAGTGCACTGTTCAAATCAGTGAATTGTATGGCATGTGAATTATATCTCAGTAAAACATTTTTTTAAAAATCAGGGTTGACTTGCAGGGTTTTTAGGTTTAGAATTAGGCAGATTTTTTATTTACTAAGGTGAGGGGTGATGTGTTCAATTTCAGATTTATTAAGTTTGAGGAATTTATAAGATATCTGAATGGAGATAATTTAAGGGTGAGGTCTGTACTGAAAATACAGAGTTGGAGTCATTATGATGTAGGGTGGCAATTGAAGAAAGGAGTGCACAGGACAAAACCCAGAGGAAGACCAAGATTAACAGAAGAAGGAACAACAAAGCCTGCACAAGATAGTGAAAAGGAATAGCCAAAGAGAGTAAGAGAAAAATCAAGAGAACGTAAGATAAGGGAAGCTAGTGAGAGATCGTTTTGATAAAAATGGAGTAGTCAGTTGTGTTTTGCATTCAACAAAACTGACAGATTATGTTCAGGAGGATCTAAAGAATAGTGTGAATGAGAGCAGTGGACATGAAAATAAAATGGTAGTGAGTTGGGAAATAAGGAATTAGAAATAGCCAAAATTTGAATTTAAAGAGGAGGAGAGAAGATAGGTAGGTGGAATATAGGGAGAAAAGGGGTGTGTGTGTGTGTGTGTGTGTGTGTGCGCGTGTGTGTGTGTGTGTCTGTCTTGGGGAGAGAGGTGCCATTAAGATGAGAGAGGAATTTTCAGTGCTGTTGGGAAGGAATGTGGCTGTGTGGAGAGAGGTGATAAGTACCCAGACAATATATAAGGTGAAAGGAAATATAAAGGAATATAAGTGACAGTGCTTAAGGAAATATAAACACAAGCATGGGGATTGACTTAATAAATAAGGGCTCATTTTTCCATAACAAGAATGAAGAAGAGAAAAAGATAAGTAGAAGCCTATGTATTTATAAGTTTGCTGGTGAAACATTAAGGGAATTCTGATCCAGTGGCTCCTATTTTCTCTTTTAAATTAAAGGTCAAATCACCTATTGTGACTGGAGTGGGTGGATGTGTTTATGAAGATGAGAAAAGGTTTGAAATAGCAGCAGAATATTGCAGAGAAGAATACTGGTGAAATAATAGTAGAACTGGCAATCTTTCCTGAAAACCCAGTTGAAATGAGTAATCTTTCATAGTGTCAGTAGTCTGCTCAATTAAAAGATTTTCCTTGGGACCAGCAGGTGGTGTGGTGGTTAAGGTGCTGGACACTCCCACATGGCCGACCACTGTTTGAGTCCTGGACCTGGTGGCTTGCTTTTCTCACTTTGTCTCTCTCTGTCTCTCTCTGGTCAAATAAAAATAAATGATTGGGTGGATGTGTTTATGAAGATGAGAAAAGGTTTGAAATAGCAGCAGAATATTGCAGAGAAGAATACTGGTGAAATAATAGTAGAACTGGCAATCTTTCCTGAAAACCCAGTTGAAATGAGTAATCTTTCATAGTGTCAGTAGTCTGCTCAATTAAAAGATTTTCCTTGGGACCAGCAGGTGGTGTGGTGGTTAAGGTGCTGGACACTCCCACATGGCCGACCACTGTTTGAGTCCTGGACCTGGTGGCTTGCTTTTCTCACTTTGTCTCTCTCTGTCTCTCTCTGGTCAAATAAAAATAAATGATGAATAAATAAAATTAAATAAAAAATGTATTTAAAAAAAAAGATTTTCCTCATCTGGATAAAGCAGAGATTGGCCAAGTCTGGGCTGTGAGCAAGTCTGGCTTGTGGCTTCTTTTTATAAATAAAGTGTTACTGCAACCAAATGTGGTCATGTGTTGTCTGTGTTGCTCTGATGCCGTAATATCAGTAATGAGTAGTTGGTCCTCAAAGTCTGAAATATTTACTGTCTTATCCTTTACAGTAAAAGTTTGCTGACCCTGATGTAAATCAACCTGGATATAGGCACAAAAATAATTTGGAATTATCCAGGGATGAGGCCCTGACAAGTAGAAGAATAAATAGCAAAGGAGTTGAAGATAATAGCAAAAGAGTTGTCAAGATGGCAGTTGACCTTGTTATTGATATTAAACCTTGGAATCCAAGTCTGAAAGGAAAAGAACTGGATAGGAGGAACTGAAAGAGACTCTGGGGTTTATTTGAATATTGAAAGTAGTTGAGAAAAGCTGAAATTAATAGTAGAGTATGGTCAGAGATAAGTGAAATGTATCATTTTAAAGGAAAATGTATAATTTCACTGTCCAGACAAAGACAGTGTCCTGGGTTTGGTAGCTGGCTAGATCATCTATGTAGACGTGTGAAAGCTCTACAGAGTGGAGTGGAGAGGAAGAAGGTGAACGCTAGGTCAGGCCAGCAGGTAGTGTGGAGGTTAAGGTGCTGGATCCCACGTGGCCAGCTGTGGGGTTTCAATTTTGGCCTGGCAGCTTGACAATCATACCAGATGTGTGTGCATGAATGCCCAAAATCCTAAGAGAAGACTGAAGAAGGGATTACAGCATGGCCATCCCTCCTGATGGGGCAGTGGGAGGTGGGGGAGGTGGTTCTCACTTTCCCTCTCTCTATCTCTGTCTCTTTCTCTAGAGAGCACATGTTCCCTAAAGCAAAAGAGGTGAGCCAGGTAACTGTCTTTTCTTAATTTCTGGAATTTACTGGGGGAAAAGCTAACCTTTTCTATTGGGGAAAAACTAAACTTTTTTTCTCACATAAGGGAGAACAATGTTGTAAATAACATAGGATTTTAAATTGTCAGGTTTTTTTCAGGGGGTGTTACATTTCTATGGGAAAGTTAGATTCGTAACAATGAAGTTTTAAATTGCTAAAAATCTAGAATATAGAAACATTGTGTCTGTTTTTATAATTAGAACTTATCAGTTTTTAATATCTTGATTACAGATTGCAGATGTATTCAAATTTGAGGAAACAGTTTATACTCATCATATGTCTCCAGTTGCCACCAGGCATTGTTTGGTAGCAGGTTTGTACATATATTCTTTTATCTTTTAAGACATTTAGACTTTCCCTCTTTTTATATCTAGTTAATTTTGACAGACTTTTAATCCAGATGAAGATCACAGTTCTCTGAAAAAAATAGTATATACACTACTATTTATATTCAACAGATACTGTATGTCAGGTACTGTGTAATGGCTAGGATTCAAAGATTTAAAAAGCATATTTATGTCCTTGAAGGAGTTTATTTTAAACCACCAAAGTTCCAAAGATTTTACATGAACAAAATTTGGCAACTTTTCCAATTTGACACAGTAAGATACTCTTTCTCTTTAAGATTATGATTCCAATTAACCATTCATATATGAAAGCACCTGCAACAAAAATGTTGATATATAAGAAAAAATAATAATGTTCTGGTGTAAGGTATTTGGTCCCTGTGATTCTGTATTTCTGTGTCACTGTGAATCTCTTCGCAAAGCTGCTTTAGCTCTAAAGAGATGCTAGGCCCTAACTTGTCTTTGAAGTCCATTCAGTCTGTGTCCAGAGTTTCTGTGAATCTATTACTAGTGACTAGAAGTATATCATTAATTTGGGAAAACTAAGCAATAAAATAAAATGTTGGGACCAGCAGATGGTGTAGCAGTTTTGTCACTGGACATGGTTGACTGCGGTACATATCCCAGACCCGGCAGGTTAAAACTCATGCTGTGTATTTGTGCATGACCAAAATCCTGAGAGGAGAATGGAGAAGAAAGGATTGTGATGTGACCATCCTCATGGGAGTGATCTTGCTTTCTGTCTCTCTCTCTCTGTCTCTCTCTCTCTCTGTCTCTCTGGTGAGCACACATACCCTATAGCAAAAATCTCTCTCTAAAACAAAAAAATGAAAAAAAAAAAGATTTGATGTGATAAATGGCATAGAACTATACATAATATATTTGCCAATATAAGTGTCCTGGTTTTCATATTATACTTTATTTTATTACCTAATATATTATCATTGGGGAAACCTAGGTGAAGGGTATGGACCTCTCTGTACTAGCTTTGCAATTTCTTGTGAATCTGTAATTATTCAATTTTTTCAAAATAAAAATTAGCACATAATAGAATTGTCTTGGTACTAAAGTGCAACTACAATTAAAATATTTGTTCTAGGGACCAGCAGTTAGTGTAATGGCTATGTCACTGGACTCCCACATAGTCAACCACGGTTCGAGGCCTGGACCTGGTGGCTTAAACTCACGCCGGGCACGTGTGTGTGCGTGCCCAAGATCCTGAGAGGAGAATGGAGGAGAAGGGATTGCGGCGTGGGCATCCCCCTGCGGGGTGATTTCTCACTTTCTGTCTCTCTGTCTCTCTCTGTCTGTCTGGCAAGCGCACGCGCCCTATAGCAAAGAAAAACCTCTCCAGAAAAAAAAAGAAAAAAGAGAATTATAAAAAAAAGAAATACTTGTTCTAATTATAAACATTAAGATAATATTTGCAATGTATTCTTGGCATACATTTTTATATTTCTGCATAGATACAGTAAAAATTTGAGTCCTTTTGATGGTGATTTTTTATAACAAAATTATCTTAAACCATTTTTGTTTTTGTTTTTATAGTTGGTACTAGAGGACCCAAAGTACAACTTTGTGACTTAAAGTCTGGATCCTGTTCTCACTTCCTACAGGGTATTTTTTTTTTTTTAATTTCAAACAACAACTACTTTGAGTGAACTGTTCAATAAAAAGAAACATTACTAACAATGTCTTCTTTGTAAGTGACATGACTGATGTATTTTGCACTAGTTGTTAAAAGTCATTAGGCAAATAAAGATCCTTCTGTGCATTATTCTTATAAAATTGAACTATTGAGACTTTTATATGAACAAATGGCCATAGGACAGCTCAAAGGATATGGAAAATAGATGGCCTAACTTAAAACCTTGTGTTATTTCTACATTAAAAAAAATAAATTACTAATAAAACTTATATCAGTATATTCATCTTATGAGTATTATTTGATATTGTTCTGGCTAGTGAGTAAACATTGCTCTTAATATTTAGGGACTTTTTCTCAGCAAAAGTGTTTTATGAAAAGATGCTGAAATAATATTTTGATAAAAGTATATTAATTTAAATTATTTTTTCTACTCTTTTATCAGTATTGTCTAATTCTAAACAATGAAACAGTTTAATTGTTGAGGATGAAGTGTAATTTAGAAATATATGCTTATTCATCTCTGAAAACAAAGATATCAGAAAAACTTGGTGAAATGGATGACATTTTTGAACATTATTAGGAGTTTTTGTTTTTATAAGCTAGGCAAATATCTAGTTTGAATAGTTCAGTTAGTCAAAAGTAAACTAAAAGGTTGAAATCACTTTTGAACTTACTATTTATGCTTTCTAGAAAAAAATGCATACAAATGCAGTTTTACAGTCATCAATTAATTTCATTCTAACTATGAGAAATTGAAAAATATTATTCTTTCAAATTGTTATCTTGTATATTTTATTGGAGTGACTTTTTGTTATAGGGATAAGTAATTGAACTTGAGTTACATGGATCAACTGATATAGGCTAACAACTTTATTTAAAAAGACTCATTTACTAAGACTATTCTTTCCAAAGCAAATCCAGTTCCTTTATAGTAAAATAAAATACAATGTGTTGCAAATACCCTCACAGATTTCACGTTAGGCTTAAGTATTCATTATTATAAATATGAAAAAATTATCATATATATTCACTTTTAATGTTTAGTCATTCTTCAGAATCAGCACAAATTATCTGCAATTTATCTTTCAATTTTTCAAATATTTTGCAAGACTTTTTATCCAGTTGTATTTGCAGGTCACAGACAAGAAATATTGGCAGTTTCCTGGTCACCACGTTATGACTATATCTTGGCAACAGCAAGGTAAAATGCTGCTTACTTGACTTTAAAGTTAGTATTAATAGTTATTAGTAAGTATTTTTAAAAAAATCACAATGATATAAGATATATGTTAGCATATTTAGTTTTTAATTAGCTCCTTATGGTTAAGGGAGCCAGATCCCACATGGCTGACTGCTGTTCATATCCTGGCCCTAGTGACTTAAAAAAGCATGCTGGGTATGTGTGTGTAAATGGCCAAAATGCCAAGAGACTAGAGAAATAGAGAAGGGATTGTGGTGTGACCATTCCCCATTATAGGGATGAGTCTCCCTCCACTCCTCATTTCTTTTCTGTGTCTCTCTTTCTGGTGAGCATACATACTCTCTGGCAATTAAAAATAATTAAAAATGAAATATTTAGTTAAAGATTTTAATTTATGTCACCAAAAGAAACTTTCCTTCACATCATAATTCTAATCCTAACCATCTTAAAAGTATATGTCTTTAGAACAAATGAGACTCTATAGTAATACAAATCTATGAGCACTACTAGTAGAACAACTGTGTTGTGTCATTATTGCACACAGTAGTATAGCACTGTGTTCATTTAAAAACAGCCTGGGCACATGTGTGTACATGCCCAAAATCCTGACAGAAGGAGAAATGGAGAATGTTATTGTGGCATGACTTCACCCCATTAGGAAGTGATTTCTCCTTCTCCCTTTTTTTTTCTGTCTATCACTCTCTGGCAACTGCACATACTCTCTGGAAATTGAAGAAAGAAAATTAACTTGAAAATGGAAAATGCTAAGTTTTTGCTGACTATTCCACTTGGCTAGGTTTGATGATGATCCCTTAGAAGAATTAAGATCATACAAATAGAAAAATTCCGAGTGTATATTTTTAATTATAAATAAATATTAGCTTATAAAATATAAAGTAATGCTCTCTCCTAATAAAATGACATGATAAGCCCAATGAGAGAGAATACTGTTGAGGTCTTTGTGGGGTCATGACGCATCAGGTGAACTAATTGGGGTATATAGGATTGCTCAGCATTTGTCTTTAGGAATAGTCTAGCAGCTACAGTTGTTATGTGATCATGAATTTGCCTTCTTTTCACTTCCTTGAAAGAAAATGAAATAAGTGTGGGGCCAGCAGTTAGCGTAATGGCTATGTTGCTGGACTCCCACATAGTCGACCGCAGTTCGAATCCCAGACCCAGTGGCTTAAACTCATGCTGGGCGCGTGTGCGTGCGTACCCAAGATCCCAAGAGGAGAATGAAGGAGAAGGGATTGCGGCGTGGCCATCCCCCCTGGGGGGTGATTTCTCACTTTCTAGCTCTCTGTCTCTCTCTGTCTGGCGAGCGCACGTGCCCTATAGCAAAAACTTCTCCAAAAAATAAAAAGAAAAAAGAAAAAGAAATAAGTGTTTAATTTCCAGAAGACAGTAAATGCAATTCTCATGTATCTGGCAAAGATTGATTTGAATATAGGAAACCAAATGAAAATACATTGTCCTGATTATTTATCTTACTGTCATATTTTTCTTTCAAGTAAAAAGAAAAAGCATAAGAGGCCAGACAGGTGGTAGAGTGGTTAAGGCAGCAGGGTCCCACATGGCCAACTGTGCAGTTGGAGTCCCAGACCCGGGCCCCTGGAAGAATATATTGGGCACATGTGCATGCATACCAAAAATCCTGAGAGGAGAGTGGAGGAGAAAGGATTGTTGCATGGTTATCTCCCCTGGCACATGCTTTCTCATTTTTCTCTCTCTGTCTCTCTCCACTGAGCACACGTGCCCTATAGCAAACTAAAGAAATTAAAATAAAAGAGAAAACATGAAATTTATACCAAATAGATTTTTTTTTTTTTTTTTGGAGAGGTTTTTGCTATAGGGCACATGCGCTCATGGGAAAGACAGAGACAGAAAGCAAGAAATCACCCCCTGGGGGGATAGCCATGCCTCAGTCTTTTCTCCTCCATTCTCCTCTTGGGATTTTGGCCACGTACACACATACACCCAGCGTAAGTTTAAGCCATTGGGTCAGGGACTTGAACCACAGTCGACTACATGGGAGTCCAGTGAAATAGCCATTACGCCAACTGCTGTTGCCACCAAATAGATTCTTAAGCAAAGTGAAATTAGTTAACTCCTTCATTATCTCCACATCTGAATGCCAAACAATAGAAAAGATTTCATTTATTTGGGAGAAACTGCAAATCTATCTGGTCCATGAGAGAAAGAATACTCATGTTATTCAAAAGAACATAAAAAGCAGAATTCTGGGGACCAGCAGGTGGCATGATGGTTAAGGTATTGGACTCCCATGTGGTCAACCCAGACTTGGTGGCTTGAAACTCATGCATGTGCATGCTTGCCCAAAATCCCAAGAGGAGAATGGAGGAGAGGGGGTTGCTGTGTGACCATCCCCCCAGGGGGTGAATTCTCACTTTTTTTCTCTCTGTCTCTATCTCTCCAGTGAGCATAAGCACCCTGTAGCAAAAATCTTTTAAGAAAAAAAAAAGGGGGGGGCAGAATTCTGCCTATATGATCTGAAATAAAAAGATTACTTTTTTTTTTTTGTATTTTTTCCACTACTTTGTTCTATGTTGACTATTGAATGCCTGTTGAAAAAGTAAAAGCACCACAAAGTACAACCACCCAAATGTATGCACATTTCCATGAATGTAACGAGACCTCTGTGTGCCGAAATGCTGGAAAGGTGGGCGCGAGAGCACAGTCACTATCCTAGCTACATATGCCAATGTAACATTTCTTGCTTCTCAGTGCTGACAGTAGAGTAAAAATATGGGATGTGAGGAGAGCATCTGGATGTTTGATTACTCTTGATCAGCATAATGGGAAAAAGTCACAAGCTGCTGAATCAGGTAATGAAGAATACATTAATATAAGACACATAACAATAATAGTGTTTTCATATGAGTGTTTTTAATTGAAGCCAAATATGAAATTAACATTGACAAACTGCAGACATATGTAATCCAATGTAATCTAAAGAAGATTACGATAATAATAAAAACTTAAAAAATAAGGGAATGCCATGCATGTCAGTCAATACAGAGGACAATAATCTCCCCGTTTCATCATTCAATAACTTTTCATTGTTTTCCCAATCAATATTATTATTATTCCAATTATTTTTTAAATAGTCAATCACTATTTCTCATTTTGCTTGTAAAAAGACTTTATCCATCATGAAATAATTCTCACACCAATCCAGTTGAGAATACTATGCACATCATCATCAACAGGTAATAAGCCATTTCTGTGTCTCACTAATGTCATGCCTCTTTATTCTCTTGCTATCTTTCTCTGTGCTATTCCCTTCTCCCACCCCATTCCACAGTCTTCAGCACTCTTAACTATTTTCATTGCTTTTATGCCCTCCAGTATTTCGATCTCTACCGTAAAGTGTGGATAGTAGGTATTTATTAAGTGGATACATTGATTGCATTGTTTCTGACGAGAGGTCAGATGTATGTTAGCCTGATGGGATATCCTTTGAAATGAACTTGCCATTTTTCTCTTGACAATTTTAGCATCTTATCTCTGTCTGTGGTTTTGGTCAACCAGGCTATGATGTGCCTCGGGAGAGATCTTCTCAGGTTGATTGTACGCGGGGTGCTTTGTATGTCTTGGGTCCAATAAACACTGATGTGCAAGCACTTTTCAGATTTAGCGTTCTCCTATCTTTTCTGTAGATACCCAGAAGTAGAATTGCTAGATCAAATGGTAATTCTACTTGTAGAACTTTGAGGAACTTCTATATTGTTCTGCACAATGGTTGAACCACTCTACATTCACACCAACAGTGTAGGAGAGTTCTCTTTTCAACGCATCCCCGCCAACACTTATCACTTTTTATATTCTTAATCTTTTTCATTCTGACAGGGGTTAGGTAGTAGCTCATTGTGGTTTTTATCTGCATCTCCCTTATGAAGAGGGATGTTGAGCATTTCCTCATATGCTTTTTGGCTATTTGTATGTCTTCCTTAGAGAGATTTATGTTCAGCTCATTTTCCCATCTTTTAATTGGGTTAATCATTTTTTTTGTATAAAGCACGTGAGTTCCCTGTGTATTCTGGTCATCAGTCCCTTGTGTGAGGCATATTTAACAAAAATATTTTCCCATTCTGAGGGTTGTCAGTTCACACTTGTTACTGTGTCCTTTGCTGTGCAGAAACTTCTTAGTCTGATATAGTCCCACTTGTCTATTTTAGGGATTATTGTCGGTGCTTTGGGACTTTTATTTAAGAAGTATTTGCCTACTCCAATGTCTCCCAGAGTTTCCCCAGAATTTTCCACCAGTAGTTTCATTGTTTGAGGACTTAGGTTCAGACCTCTGATCCATTTTGAGTTGATTGATGTTAAGTTCAGTTTCGTCTTTCTGCAGGTGGATACCCAGTTTTTCCAGCACCGTTTACTAAAGAGGTTCTTCTTTTCCCAATGGATTGACTGATATCCTTTGTCAAAGATCAGTTGGCTGTAAGCTTTGGGTGTTATTTCTGGGGTCTCTATTCTATTCCATTGTTCCACATATTTCTTTTTATGCCAATACCATGCTGTTTTGATAATCACAGCTTTATAGTATATCTTGTGATCAGGGAGTGATATTCCTCCTACTCCATTCTTGTTGCGCAGAAATGGTTTTGCAAAATGAGGTCTTTTATGATTCCAGGCAAATTCTATGATTGTCTTTTCTAGATCTGTGAAGAATATTTCTGGTATTTTGATTGGAATTGCATTAAACATGTAGATTAATTTGGGTAGAATTGCCATTTTGATTATGTT